GTTGTCCCAACAGTCCCGGCAGTCCCGGGAGTCCCGGCTGTCCCGGCTGTCCCAACAGTCCCGGCAGTCCCGGCTGCCAAATCTTGCGTTAATTTTGGGACACCCTTTATATCCAAACATTACGTGATGGGAAATTTCGCAGATCGAAGTCTATATATTCGACAACATTACTAATTTTGCCAATATCTCTCGCTATTTGGTCACATTTGGCGATCACATTATTGCGTCACCTATTCGGCTTGCCATTAAATATCACTTCGTGTTTATTCATACAATTGCAAATTAGCCAGTCGGGCTAATCAATCGCGATCATCGACGTATTCAAATTACAAGCGATCTAATACGTTTTAATGAGCGAAATAGTGATGAGATAAATTTCAGTAGAGGGAAAAAAGTACGCGAGTCAACATTCAAACACATTTATTTTGACGGTTAACAGAAATAACGTTTAATATAAACGTTGCGGTTGTGGTTTTGTATACACAGTATGTGCGCTACGCGAGTCCTTAATTAATAATAGTCCTTAAATAATAACAGCAGGTGCTAATTGACTGCACTAATTCAATCCTGAGACAACGCTCTCGCCAAAGGAAATTTGCTAAATTATTTGAATGTGCTAGAATTATAAATGCAGCTAAAGATTTAAAGCCCAAAGATTGTGATAGGCATTACACGTAATGTTGATACGTTTAATTTCCAATGAAATTTTTAACTCATTGTAATTATATGTATAATGATACTGGATTAATATTTAATTGTTGATATATTTACTATTTTGAGAGCACGACAAATGAGACTATAGTATTGTGAAATAGATAAGAGAAAAATATCATCCTAATTTGGCAATTTGTCTCTCTCTTGATTTGAATTCTTCATCTAAATAAGTGTATTATATTTCATCGCCTCGCGTACTTTTATATCAACAGTAGGAGATATACATAATTTTGCACGATACTAACGATTATAAGATCGAAGGATCACTGGTAAATTTCAGTCTAAATGGTCTGTATGTTACTATGATGTTTCTACAGATTGTCTTCCTCGGGATGCTGGGCATTGTACTCCAAGGCTCTCAGGATAGCAGAGGGGATCGGAGGTGCAACTGGCAGATGCTCGCCCTGAGGATGGAAACCAGCTTCATCGGCGCTGTAGCTCAGGCTGATGGGACTGCCGTTGTCATCAGTATAGCTGAAAGATCCCTGAACGCGAAGAGCGTCCTCGTCTTTGGCGATATTGAAAAGCTGACCCTGCTCCTGTGCTTGGATGCCATTTCCGGTCTGGTAGCCGTAGCTGTATGAACCGTCAGCATTTGGTCCGTCCTGCTGCAAAGCTACGATGGGGATGAAAGTATCATGCAAAGAATTCGGGGGTGCAGCAAATGCAGCCACTGCGAGCACGCAGAGAAGTGTAGCAGTCTGAAAAAAATTGTTTTTTTTTTCTGATTGATTTAAAACTGTAAGAAGTATCTCGGAGAAGAAGTATAGAATTTTGAATAAAATGGATTACACAATATTCTTTAATTAAAATATGACTGATTTCAGATTTTATTATACGCTTGCGTTGTTATAACATTTGTAATTCTTGACAGTAGCTAATTTAAAACAGATTGTCTGTGTGAACAACATTTAGTATTTTTCAAAAATTGTATGATAAAAACAAAAAATTAATGATAGTGTGAATTAATTCTTCATTATTTCTTTTGTTAAGACTTACCAGAGCCTTCATGATGCTGATCACTGTGTATTCCGTTATAAAATCGAAATTGAGGAGACGCCTTTTATATAGTATTGCCGAGAAACCTGTTAGATACGAAGATCTCCCTCTTATTGATAAATTTCTGACTGGTATGTTGACAAATATGCATGTTACATCATTTCTCGATAAAATTGATAGCGGGGCGTGAGGTAAGATGATTACAAAAATAGCAATATAGTGCCTCTCAAATGATATTCGTGTTTTTCAAGTGTCTATCGAATTTTATACGAAAGTCGAATATAATTTAGAAATCACATCAAAGACCACATTCGATAATTCTTTCGCTTCCAATTTTCAAACTGTTTTTCTATCTAAACTTCCGTAATGATTGAGAGAATTTATTCAGACAGAAAAATACATACTGTATTTAAATATTAATTTATGCATATAAATATTAAATAATTTAAATATTTTATAAGTTTATATATCCATTCATAAATCTATTATGAAAGTTTATCACAAATATCAAATTTATTCAAAATTTTTTCAAAATAAATCCTACTAATAATATATAAGTTTAATATATATTTCA